TAATTCCATTTAATGTCCTGGACAAGGGGGACCTTGTGAGTCTTCAGAGGCTGTTAGACCTCACTTCCCATTAGCCTCAAACAGCATGTCCCATTGGCCAGAATAGTTGTTGTCCAATAATATCTAGCATGCCTGCCTCTGGTCTGATAGGTGGGTAGTTTTTCACAGCCTACCCTTTTAGAGGTGAGGTGAGTCTGTTTGGGAATATGCCCCAGCAGCATGTCATGCCCTCAGTCGCCCAGCAGGGGGTAGCAAAGCTCTTCTTCGTCATGAGAGTTAATGAGCGGTATACATTAGAAATCATACCAGTGGCTGTTTTGCAGAAGTAGTAAAGGAGAGTCATCTGTAGTCAATGTCGTACTTTTTGTATAGAACTGAGAAGACATTCTTACTTGTTTTATTTATTTGATTTGTTTTCTACGCCATCTTTCTCCAAGGGGAGGGATCTAAGGCAATGCGCTATTCATTAAAACAACGCACAGTTAAAAACACATTGGGATACAATATTAAAAACAGTTAATCAGATAATATTAAAAGTTGCCATTTAAAAATACTCAGAAAAATTCATTCATCAGATCAGTATACAGACATGCACCATCCCATTAGAATGCCTGTCTAAATCCAGGCAAAAATCCACTGGTGGCAGCGAGAAGAAAACGCAACGTGAGCCTTTGTGAGGGAAAGACTAGCAGGGGCCACAAGGGCAAACGCCACAGTATTATATAACACAGGGGTCCCCAACTCCCGGTCCACGGGCTGGTGTCAGTCTGTGGCCTTGACCAACTGGGCCACGGAGACATCTCTTCCGCCCCCACGCATGCACTCCCCCCATGCCCCACGCAAAGCACCTTCATGAATGCACGCAAGTGTGTGCGCCCCACAAGCGCCCCCACCCCTTCACGCATGCACATGAGTGCCTGTGTGCCCCCTACGCATTGATCCTGCCCCCCCAACCGGTCCATGGTGTCAAAAACGTTGGGGACCACTGATACAACAGATACAAATTTTAACCAAAAACCTAAGTATCTCTGAAATATCAGTGTAATATGCATGCTGTTCCTAATATTGCCGTTTTGCCCCGATGGTGTGATTTCTGAGAACTGCAACTGTTTATAGTACTGTATGACATTTCTTTATATTGTTCCCAAAGCCCCAATGACTACGGGGACCACTGAAGTGGGTTTCTTCCAGAGGTGAGATGTTTCGATTGCCAGGTCTCTGTACTTTGTTAGTTCTTCCAATTCTTTAGTTTCAAATCTGGCATCCCCTGGAATTGCAATGTTAATGATCCGGACATTTCTTCATTCTGTTACTACTATGTCTGGTGTGCTATGTTCAAGGTATCTGTTTGGATCTGGAAATCCCACAAAATCATGTCTCCCTCATTTTCTGACATATTCTCTATCTGATGTCCCCATGGATTTTTGGAGGCCAGCAAGTTATATTTTTTTGCATAATGACCAGTGCACTAACTTTGCCACCTTATCATGTCTAACTTTGTAATCTGTTTCTGTAATCTTTGGACGTTCACAGATGAGGTGTGACACAGTTTTTTTCTTGGCGGAGTTGACATTTGCTGTTACCAGTAATTTCTTGAATCTTAGCTTTCATCACGTTGGTTTGGAGTGTTTGTTCTTGTGCAGCAAAAAATCAAGTATTCGGTTTCTTTCTTAAGGGTTCCCAGTTTTAGCCATGTCCATGTTGAATTATGATCATGCTTTCCATCGATATTTCTCAGGTATTGTATATGTATTGGTTTATTTTTTTCAGCTGTTTAATTTGTTTTCAAATTGTTGTTTCTTATATTGAGCTTTTGTTTCTGTTGTTTTCAAAATATTCTCAATTTTGATTGCTTTCAGTAATTTTTCTCTGCTTGTACTGATATAATCACTTAGGCTTCTTTTTTCTTCCTTTACTACCTGCTGTGTTTGTAGTAATCCACGACCCCTGATTTTTTTGTGGTAAATATAATCTGTACACATCGCTTTTTGGATGTCGTGTATGATGCTTGTTCATTAGTTTCCATGTTTTCCTTTTTGGGGCCGCAGACTGGTTGGGGGGAGCGAGCTCCATGCGTGGGGGTGTGTCATGCTTGCGGTGGGCATGTTGCGCTCGTGCGCATACGCGCAAGTGTGATATGCCCCCACAGATGCGACATGGCCACTGCAAGCATGACACATACACTGCATAAGCACGACACCCCCCGAGCATGATACAGCCCTTGAGTATGACATGCCCATCGCACAAGCATGACAACCCTCTGTGAGTTGACACCCCCTGTGAATGTGACAAGCCCACCTTGTGTGCATGCAGGGGGGGACGGAGATCTGTATCCGCAGCCCAGTTCCAGCAAGCCCATGGACCATCACCGGACCGTGGGCCGGCGGTTGACAACCCCTGGTGTAGAATAATCATTGGTTATTTCAAAATTGTGTGTTTTCTCTATATTGTTTCAAGCATTCATCATATCTTTCAATTTTCTTTGTTGCAGATGTTACCCATTGTTTTAATTCTTCCATAGTTTCAACAATTGTTTTCCTTTCTAGGTCATATATTTTGCATAGTCTGGCTTTTACTTTTTCCATTTTTAATTTTTCAGTATTTGAAGTGTTTCAAGTCGTTAATGTCTCCATGTAATTTATTTTTCTTTCCAGCTGAATTTTCCACTTTGGAATGCCATGCGTTTTCTGGGAAGCATTCATCATATCTTTCAATTTTCTTTGTTGCAGATGTTACCCATTGTTTTAATTCTTCCATAGTTTCAACAATTGTTTTCCTTTCTAGGTCATATATTTTGCATAGTCTGGCTTTTACTTTTTCCATTTTTAATTTTTCAGTATTTGAAGTGTTTCAAGTCGTTAATGTCTCCATGTAATTTATTTTTCTTTCCAGCTGAATTTTCCACTTTGGAATGCCATGCGTTTTCTGGGATTTTTGCAGCTTGTAATCAAGTTCCATGGTTATTATGGTAGCTGTGCTATACATGAGCCCGTTTGTTTCCTTTAGCGTATTGGTTGGAATTGTTCTGATGACAACATTTTGCATCATTCATTAGATCTTTGACTGGTTTACTTTGTAATTGGTGCAAATTGGGGAGCCTTTGTCTTTCTGTGTTCTGCCTAATATTGAGTTACTATTTTTCCCCTCAGTGATGTTTGCCATTCTGTCAATTCATAATTTCTGGGTTGTTCCATAAGTTGTCCCTCTATTGATACAATTTCTGTGTTCTGTGTTCATTTTGCCACCTTTTCTAGTTCTTGCAATTCCAGTTCTGAAAATAGTTTACTCCAGGGGATAAACCTTCTCTGGTCTATTAATCATTGTTCAGTTATGTCACAACTTGGGTGTTTCCTTTTCCAAATTTCCAACATTCTTTTTTGAAAACCACAGGCTGTTGGGTTTGCCTTATAATAACATTTTATAATTTCGTGATTTTTGGCGAGAGTCCAAGTTTTGCATTTACATTGTTCCAGTAGCTTTGCAGCAGCCTATTTTGGTCCCTCAACAGGGTTTGCTGAGCCCTGTAGCCCATTTGTCACCAGATGCCCAGGGGCTATGGCATCTGATGCGGTCCTTGTTGACGTAGGCAATGACTGATCCGGTATGGATTTGTTTATTCCCTCTCATCATATTTGATGGTTGGTGGGCACAGTTGGTCTGGCTTCTCAGCTGAGACCAGTCTGGCTTGGGAGACCCTTCAGCATAGCTCTCAACCTCACTCAAGCACGCAAGTCCCTTCGCCTCAACAAGGCCTGTGACCATGGAGGGTTTGTTGGTTTTGTTGTTGTTGTCAAAATGAAATATGAAGCCATTAGAGAAGAAACCTCCAAAGAATTAATATTATGCATTATTCCTAATATTTTATTCCCAAATTCTATTTATTTCTTTGGCTTCACAGGAATCTACTATTTACAATTGTAAATAAGGTTAAGGCACACTCGCCATTTTCTTCTGATCCCATTCTCTTTCTCTAGGATGATAACGCTGGCTACTGGCAGGCTTCAAGGTACCAAAAGCCTCACTGCAGAGGTACAATTGGTGGGGCGGGGGTGGGTGGGTTTTCTCTTTCGCCCTTCCTCATGCCTTTGGATCGGTAGATGCAGTCTTCTTCTATATTCCCTCATAATTCATTTTGCTCTCTAGTCAGAAACTTTTTTAAAAAAAATAATGTAAGGCCTGGAAATAACTGCAGCTGACAGTCTGAACTGTAGATAATTTTAAGGAAAATTTTTCCTCATTCCACTTCTGCTGCTTGTTTGTGGGTTTTCTTCCGGAGAATGTCATTTAATTATGTATATTTTACCAACTGCATGCTGCTGTATGGGTGTTCTTTTGCAGTATTTGCAAATTTTATAGTTAGACAGATGTCTGCTTCTATGGGAGAGGGAAGAAAATGGGAGGTGTAGAAAATTCAGCAAGATGATAAGATGGAAATGGAAAGCTGACTCTGCAACCAGCTTCAAAAGACTGGGTGATGCGGTGTAGTCCAAAGCTTATCTGGGGCTGCTTATCTGTACTTCAGCTGCATATTTAGGCTGCTTCTGCAGATCAGCATCAAATGAAGTAGAAACTCAACATTAATAGGATCATGTAACTCCTGAGATATTTTACTATTTGAGGAAGAGCAGCAAACGCCTCCCCACCCTGCCCCACAAACACACCCGCCCCAATGAAGACATTGAGGTCAGAAGGCCAGCCAAGTTATTTTCGCACATGAAATAGAAAATCCTCTGCTTCTCCCTAATAGTAAGAATATAGGAATAATTAATTAGGTAATACTTTGTTGTCCTTTCACAGCACCCCAAATCAGCAGCTTGAGGCAGCTGCCTCATTCTGCTTAATGGTAGGGCTGGCCTAGTGTGAGGAAATAGGTGGTTTGTCTATTTGAAGTAACCAAAGAAGTGACAACGTGTGGAAAGGAGGGGACACAAAAACAGTAGTGGGTGGACGTGGAAAACATTGCCAGCACAGAGACAGAACTGAAATAGCACAAGCCGGTTTCTATTCTTTTATTCCTTTAATTTAATTTACAGTTAGTCATTCTCAACGCAATAATATATTTCCAGGCATCTGAACATAACCAGGCATGGGAAATGCCAACTCAGAGCATCTAGGATTAACAAATCTGAACCAGCCTTCCATAGTCTGGTGCCCTCCAGAAGGTACTGGGCTACAACTCCTATCATTCCCAAGAGGTATGCCCAATGGTTGTGCAGGCTGGAGTCACAGGAGTTGTAGTCTAACAGATCTGGCAGGCACTGGCTTGAAGAAGGCTGGTTTAAATCAAGACACACCCCCATCAGAACACAGAACAGGCATTTTGTAGCTCTGGAACATGGCGGTAGCAGGATCCTTAATTCTGCTACATCCAGTAACTTCATCACAGCATCAGTATAAGGTTTGCTTTCATCACAGTTTCTTTTTTAAATGAGAGGTTCCCATCTGTTACCATGACATGACAAGAGCCTTTTTTTGGTAACATCAGAGTAGTAAAGAAAAATTGCTGGAGCAGATGACATTTCAGGATGAAATTGGAATTTAGCATGTTAACAGCATTAAGATAGCTTATGGCATATCCAGAAGGACATCTTGTTTCCTGAAATGTACCTGATTTAGAGATAATCCCACCCCTCATCCACATGATGCAAGGTTTTCTTCAGTAAAAGTGACAAAATCCTTGACTTCCCATGCTTTTCCTTCTTCTGTCCTGAAGGCTAATTTCTTTTCATTGCTAGTGTTGCAGGGACAGAGTTTAGCGCTATGGCACTTACATTACATTCATTTCCATAGTTACAGCTTCTCAATTGGGCACTCAAGTCTGCAATCAATTAGCAAAAGAAACATAAAAACAAAACAAAATCCCCAAAGAGACCAAAAACAAACGGAGCAAAAACAGGAGGGAATCTCCAGCAGGAGATTAATTTTCAAAACATTTTTTAAGAGGTAGAGAGAAATCGTTTCAAAACGAAGTTGCTTTTAAAATGGCAGGGTAGGCACAAAACCTGGTAAGTTCTGCACACTTTTGTGAGGAAACAGGACAAAGGCAGAAGGAAAATCCCTCCATTGCCCATGTGGAACAGAAATTAAATTTTCCCGTGGTGTCACACTGTCTTAAGGTAAATATCACATTATTGAAACAATTTCGTCTAGCCCTTGGTTCATTTAATACAAGCGATGACATCTGGCTCTGTGTTTTGGGTGTGCATGTGCACACAAGGATATGTTTTGCCTGCTATGATTTTTTTTTATAAAGAGGGAGGAGCTTGTCTGAGGATGTTCTATTAGAGAGGGCTGGCTCAGAAGAGTCCACTGCCATGTGTTGTAGTCAGAAAGGAGATTCTTAAAGGGACACACCCACCCACCCCCGTAATGCAGCCTGAAACAACAGAGGATGCCGTTGTAAGCCAGTCCTTGAATTCACGCTGGGAAGCAGATAGAGCAACACTCTAGACAGATCTCAAGGCAGTCGGAGGAGCTGCAGCAATCCTGGAGCATGCCGCAGCCTAATCCACACGGGCAGTTCCCCCCACCTGCTTCCCCACAGCAGGCCTCCGCCACAGAGTCCCCTCTGTCCCCGCCACAGCAGGCCTCCAGGCAGCCCCCACAGCCCCCACAATCCAGAGCAAGAGAGCAGAGAGACAGGAACTCACAGAAGAGGCAGGCAAGGGCACAATGTGCGCAGCGGTCTGGAAGAGAAGAAAGGAGTGAACATAGGGATTGAGGAACACTGGCTGCTCCATGACCACATGTATGTCCCCAGACTTGTGCCATGCACACCCCGGCCCTTGTTAAAATTTCTTAGACCAAGGACAAGGAACCTCAGGCCTTGGGGCTGAATTCAGCCTTCCTGCTGAAAAAGTTAACCAACTGGAAAAGTTAACCAACTCCTGGGACAGATCAAAAGAGAATCATCTGCCACTAGCCTAATCTGTACACAGCAGGAAAGCTGATTTACCGATTGTTGAATTATAGCTTCTTGTGCTTTAGCCTACATTGGCATACAAATCATGGTTAAACTAACCAGCCAGAAGTTACATTTAGAAGTCATTGTTTGTTGTTGCCTTACAAACTCTAGCTTATTTAAATCATGGCTTGCTTAAGTCAGGAGGACCCCAAACCAGGGTCACAAGGTGTTTGCCCAGCTGCCCACAATGAAACAGAAGGTGACAAAAGAGGTGGGGGATAAAAATGACTGGGGAAAACAGGAATTTGCTTTGTCATCTGTGGGACAATGTGTGGCTAAAGCAGCAAACCACAGCTAACAGAAATGATAGCTTGGTAGCATCTGACTTTTTGGGAAGCCCCAAGCAAAAAGATTGTGCAAGAGGGTAGGATGTCCTTTTGTAGCCTCAAGGCTCTGGCAAATCTCCACCTCAGTCTTTCCCTCTAAGGCTGGCCCCACCATTCACTGACCTGGACTTGTGTCCACCTAGATGGGATGGGTATGTTGTATTTATCCCAGGGAATACAAAGATCAGAATATGCAAGGCAAACAGTGCACAAGACTATGGATGAAAACCGCTCTACCTGTTGCTCACCTGCCATGAAGATCCCATGAAAAGGTCAGAATTAGTAGAAAACCTCCTTAAGAGTCAGGGTTAGTTAATGATAGCACAGTTCGGACATTTCTAATGCAAGTTCTAGACAGTCACCCGTCTGGTAGCAAAACTCTAGGCCCTCAGGTCTGCAACAACAGCAGCAGCAGCCTTGAGGGTCACAGCAAACCCCCAGAAGCCGTGAGCTGCAGCTGACTGGCAGTGGAAAGCTGGAGCAGCAAAGGGATTCAGACAGAAGAGGCAGGATGTCAGAAGAACGGCAGAAGAGGCAAGCCAAGAGGAGAGTGGCACACAGCTCTGTAGAAAGGAAAGAAATAGACAGTTTATTTGTGTTTTTTGACACCAGCAGGGCCAATGTAGAAATACCTTTGCGGCTTTCAGTTTGAGTCTATTTCTATTCTCCGGATCACACTCTTAAAAGTTTTGCTAGACATACTTGTAAGGGAAGCCGATTGGAGAACTTGGCTCAAATTGTTTTGGTACCTGAAAGACGACAGCAGATTCTCACCCACCCAACACCAAGGTGCAAAGTACCCCTAGCTAGCCAAGTTATTTTGCACATGGCAGAAAATCCTGCAAACACCTTCCCTTATTTCTGGCAGAAAAAATGTAGTGGCTGAAATCCTGTTGCTTAATTACACATGCAGAAGCTAAATGGCATAATGTCCAGCCATTTCTACCTGTCAATTGATGAGTCCCGCTTGGGATTCTTGAGCTAATGCACTCCTGAAAATCCCTGCAGTGACTCATTAATTGCCTGCTAGAAGTGTGGCAAAATATGTGCCTGGGGCTACTGAGCCTTCTCCTTGCCAAGGAGGGGGAAAGCCCTGGCTAGCTCCTTTCAGCGTTCCAGTGTTTTTCTACATATGTTCGCTGCCACCATTCCCCTTCAGAATATCCAGTCAATCCAGTTTAATTACAGAATTATTTGCTTGTTAAAAACCCTTTAGCACCTTGCACATGCTTTGGAGCAATCCAGATAGCTGGGACGAGTAGCCTGGCTTCTGGACTAGATTAACCAGGAAGCTCTGCAAGCAATAAGAGTCCCAACCAATGTATCTATTCTAAAAGCAAAAGCAAAAAGGTAAATGACAAAAGTAGTTCAAATGTCTTGTTTTGTTAAAAAACAAAGATGAAGTATTTAGTGGAGCACCTTGCACATGCTTTGGAGCAATCCAGATAGCTGGGACGAGTAGCCTGGCTTCTGGACTAGATTAACCAGGAAGCTCTGCAAGCAATAAGAGTCCCAACCAATGTATCTATTCTAAAAGCAAAAGCAAAAAGGTAAATGACAAAAGTAGTTCAAATGTCTTGTTTTGTTAAAAAACAAAGATGAGATATTTAGTGGACTACAGTCATGCCCCACTGGACGATTACCCCATTTAACGACGAATCCGCTTAATGTTGATGTTTTTGCGATCGCAAAAGCGATCACAAAATTATATTTAGATTGGGTTTTTCTGCTTCACATTGATCGGTTCCATTTCGGGAACCGATTTTTTGCTTTACGACGATCAGCAAACAGCTGATCGTTGGGTTTCAAAATGGCCTCCGGCTTTAAAAATGCCCCCCCCCCGCTGTTTTCTAGGACTGATTCCTCGCTATACAGGCACCGAAAATGGCCGCCGTATGGAGGATCTTCGCTGGACCAGCAGGTATTCAGCCCATTGGAACGCATTGAACCAGTTTTCAATGCCTTTCAATGGGTTTTTTATTTTGCTTGATGATGTTTTCGCTCTACAGCAATTTCGCTGGAACGAATTTACATCGTCAAGCGAGGCACCACTATACAGAAGACATAAGCTACAGCAAAGGTTCTTAACCTATGGTCTATAGACCGCAATGTCCTCACAGGGGGTCAGAAAAGGCTTGAAGAAAAGTTATGATCTTTTGCAGTTAAAAGAGAAAGAAAGAATGAATGAATGAATGAATGAATGAATGAATGAATGAATGAATGAATGAATGAAAGAAAGAAAGAAAGAAAGAAAGAAAGAAAGAAAGAAAGAAAGAAAGAAATGTAGAACAAAATCTCATTTTTCTCTTGCTTCTTTGTGTAAAATTTGGCTTTTCTAACCTATCACCTCCATTAAAAACAAACAAAAGTAAAACTTGTTTATGAACATAAGTGTTAGCAGATAACTTTGATATTTCTGCACAAGATGAGAACATGCAAGTGAATAACTCTGAGTGGCTGAGAGACACAGCACATGATATTTCTTGCTACTTCGCAGACAGTGAGAGACAGCACATGATATTTCTTGCTACTTCGTAGACAGAAACCGCGGGAAGAGAGTTGGAGTCAGTCAGTGTCAGTGTCAGTGTGAGTGAGGGTTCCGAGGGATTATGATTTTGTTTCAAATCAATTCATGATTATGCTTCTTCTTCAGTTTCTGCTAATGAAACCAGTTGTTTATTGTCAGGTAAAGTGACTTTTTGATGTTATTACAGCAAATTTCATAATAATACATTTTGACTAAGCCTCAGAATGGATTGCTGGCTGAATCTGAAATGTAAAAGAATTAATTATGTTGATGAGGGTGCATCCTGTTCAAAGCAAAATGAAGTCATTTTAAAGTGTTGCTGTTATAGGAAGGAATACTGTTGACTGGCTTCACGTGTACAGTTCCCAAAGACAAGCAACTACTACAGTGTGTGTTGTGTTACAAGATATTGTCCAACGAGGCCATGAAACTGTCAAAATTATGAAGGCATTTTGACACTAAACATAGAGAACATGCCACAACAATGGCAAAATAAGGAGTATGAGATTCGAGAAAGATAAGGAGCATGAGATTCAAGAAAGAAAATGGTTAAAAAAAGACTGCAACTGGTTGAAATAAAGAGAATGCAGTGAGGGTCTCATTTGAAGCTTCTCAACTAACGGCAAAATTTGGAAAATCAAACACAATAGAAGAATTCATATTACCTCCTGCAAAAACAATGGTTTCTGCATTGATCAACAAGTAAACTGCCAAGGACTTTTCCTTAATACCGTACCTTTGTCAAATGACACAGTTTAGAAGCAAATGGATGGTTTGTCAGCCAATATCAAGGAACAATAATTCAAAAAAAATTTGCATGTCCATTTTTTTATAGTGCAGTTGGATAAAACACAGACGTAACAAACAAAGTGACCTTACTGTGCTATGTTATATATGAGCACAAGATAAATGTTTTTGAAGAAATATTGTTCATCTCATTGGTACATACTACAGCTGAAAAAGTATTTAACAACTTAAATGAGTTTATAGCATCTAATGACATGGATTAGTTGAAAAGTGCTATTATTAACACAGATGGGGCGCAAGCAATGTCTCGAAAGCTTACTAGACTTGTTGCACAGACTAAGGAAATCATACCATCAGTGACTTGGTACCATTGCTGCATACGCAGGGAAGCTCTAGTTGCTAAGAAGTTATCAGAAAAACTAAAGCAGACCTTAAATGAATTAATCAAAATTATCAATTTTCTAAAAAGTGTATAACTGAGTTCAAGACTTTTTCAGCAGCTTTGCAAAGATATGGGCAGTGAACACCACCAACTTTTGCTACACTGTGAAGTTCATTGGCTATCAGTTGATAATTTTTGCTTATGGGCAGTGAACACCACCAACTTTTGCTGCACTGTGAAGTTCGTTGGCTATCAGTGGATAATTTTTGTCTTGTTTTTTTGGGAATTGAGAGACGAGATAAGATTATTCCTCATGGGGAAGCAATTTCACCTCAGCGATCGTTGGACAGATTTTTCCTAGTTAGCGACCTCAGCGATCGTTTGACAGATTTTTCCTAGTTAGCAGAAGTAGCATATTTGTCAGATATCTTCACCTATTTAAATATGCTCAACTTAAATCTTCAAGGAGAAAAGGTTTGGAAGTTGAAGGCAAGATCAAAGCAATGATCAAAAAGTTGGAATTGTGGCATCATTGCCTATTGAACCCAAACTATGAGACATTTTCAAACTTCAGAAATTTTCTTGGTTCCACCGACCAAGACATGTTTGAGAAGGACACATCATTTATCACACAATATTTGGAAGATTTGCAGCATAGTCTCTATGAATATTTTCCTATTCCTGATGCAAGCAAAAACTGGATTAGAGATCCATTTTCAGTTAATGTGTATGAACTAGAGGGGCTCCCAGCAGCAGAGAAAGACAGGCTCATAGAAATAGCCACAGATGGTGCTCTGAAATTGCAGCTCAAAGAACAGTCCCTTCCAAATTTTTGTGTTCACCTTCAAGCAGATTTTCCAGAACTATCAAAGAGGGCTATGAAAGTATTGATGTCTTTTGTAATGACATACTTGCGCGAAAAATCATTCTGTGCTCTTGTTTGTAATGACATACTTGTGCGAAAAATCATTCTGTACTCTTGTTAAAAAATAAGTATAGAATAGACATTTGAGCTATTAAGCCCAATATAACAAGGCTTGTAAGTGAAATGCAGAACCAGCCATCCCATTAATTATAATTCTATGAATATAATATGTTCCTTTTTTTCCACCCAACTTGTCTTTAATAAGTTACAATTTTGTACAAATTATAGTTATGTCATTTTCTAGCTTTCACTTTCATGTGACATTTTGTATAGGTGTGTCATATTAATGATTTTATGTGCTTGTAACTTCAGTTTCTCCAGCAAGAATTAAAGACTGTTATTTTTACAATTATTCAAAAAACAGGCACAATTGACCAAAACTATAAAAACATTAATTGGTATTATATAACAGATACAAATTTTAACCAAAAACCTAAGTATCTGTTAAAATATTGGCGTAGTATGTATGCTGTTCCTAATATTGCTGCTTTTTGTAGCTCTGATGGTGTTGTTTCTGAGATCTCCAACTGCTTATAATACTATGTGACATTTCTTGATATCGTTCCCAAAGCCCTAATGACTATGGGGACCACTGAAGTGTGTTTCTTCCAGAGATGAGATGTTTCGATGGCTAGGTCTCTGTAATTTGTTAGTTTTTCCAATTCTTTAGTTTCAACTCTGGCATCCCCTGGAATTGTAATGTCAATTATAGAGACATTTCTTCATTCTACTAGTATTATGTCTTGTGTGTTATGTTCAAGGTGTCTATCAGTTTGGACCCAGAAATCCCACAAGATTTTGACTTCATCATTTTCTGACACTTTCTCTGCCTGATACTCCCTTGTGTTTTTGGAGACTGGCAAGTTATATAAATATATTTTGCATAATGATCAGTGCACTAATTTTGCCACTCTGTCATGTCTTATTTTGCAATCTGTGCAATCTTTGGACATACACAGATGGGATGTAACACAGTTTCATCTTTTTATAAAAGCTAAGATTCTAGGAATTAGTGTTAACAGCAAATGTCGACTCTGCCAAGAAAAAGATGAAACTGTATCACACCTCATCTGCGAACGTCCAATACTACTATCACTGTTATTTAAATTTTTATTATTATTTTAAATTTGTATGGAATCATCCCAATAAAAATGTTATAATAGGAGTGTGTGCATTAACTGATTAACTTATTTCTCCCTTCTCTCCAAATCTGAAGACCATTCATGAAAAAAAATTAAACATTTGGTGCGCTTTAAGGTTTTAAATCTGGAGTTAAGTCTTGGTGGTCCACGGTAACAAAAGACATTTAAAGGGGGTCCATGGTAAAGAAAAGCTTAAGAACTGCTAAGCTACACGATAAGAGAGCTGCTATTTCTCTAACTGGGATCTGGCAGTCACAAAATTCATCATGATGGTTCTATGTTTAATGTGAGAGTCTAAGTATGATCCGTTCCAAGATGGAGCCACTGCCTCCGCTACTCCTCTGCTTGGAGAGCCACGCACCAGCTTCCAGCTTCCTCTCTCTCCATCTCTCTCCTACTCCCTTCTCATTTCCTTATTGAAGCTCCCTCTCTTTCTTAAGGGCTTGCCCCCTCCTTAACCTCAGGCATGTATATTCTGTGGGAATCTGGCTACACACAACTAAGGCTGGGTGCCTGGGAGAAAGTTGCCCTGAAGGCAGGACACAAACTGGCTTAGTGCATTTGCACTTCAGAGGAAATGACCACCTGGAGAAATGGCTCCGCTTCCCTTTGATATGCCAGATGGTAAGCTGCCCTGATTCTGGTTCCTATAACAATTTCATGCCACTTTTATGGCAGCGCTGGCATCGGTGCCCTCCCAACAGGGTGCACCAAGGCCCATTCCTTTACAATCAGTGACTGAATGCTATGTTGTTTGCCCCCCATATGTGTAATGATGCAACGGGATTTCAACCAATAACACTTAAATAACTAAAATTTGCCGACACACAAAATATGCTGCCTGAGGAATCTGTCTCACTGCCTAATTATAATTGCCTTTCAGCGGTCGCCCCATCACTATAGAAGGCTCTTCCAGGCCCCCTCCCTCTGTATTTTTAGAAAACTTGTAGAGGTGAAGCTCTACAAAGAACATACAGTATTCCCCTTCAGGGAATACTTTTATGACCTATATTCAGATGCGATGCCATGAGCTCTTTTTTGTTTCTTATATTGTGCTTATTAAATTATATTGTCATTCATGAGAATGATAGTTTGGGGTTTTATCTTCTCTTTTCTGTGTTCACTGCCCCAGAGCAGTGAGTTGCCACTAAGTGGGGCAGTATAAAAAGTACACAAACAAACAATTGATTGGCCAGCACTCGTGATATCATACAGAGATCTCTCCTATTTCTGGGGCAACTTGAAAACACCCCTTTGCGCTTTTTTTTTAAGGTTAGTGAAGAAATAAAAAGACAGAAGAACCAGCTTTGAATGTATGACAAGAGATGAGACCAGCGGCTCATTTGGTATTCCAATATGTCTAGTGCACTTCTGTTCTTTTGAATGAGACATTGGGAAGAAGCCAGTTTCCTACTACAGCTGAGAGAGACCCTTTTTGAGTCCCCTGTCTATATTACGGCTCTCTCCATTTCCTCATCTTTATGGTGCAGATTATTAGGAATGTCTGGCTCAAGCCACTTAAGTTCATTAAACAGTAAACAACAGCACATTAACAACAGGCAGTCTTCCCTGACTCAACCCCATTGAAATGGTACCACTTAATGCCACCAGCGGAAGACAACATGTTTAAACAGCATCCTGCTCTTTAAGATATACTGACATCGCACTTCCGACTGTGGGTTGGCTGGTCTTTTAAGAGCCTTTTGCTCCTCTTGGAGCGCAAAATAAGCAGCCAGTCTCTCTTCCTGCATACATTGGGGAGGAAGGTGTTAAAGCACCAGGGCCACCACTGGCCAGAATGAAGCCGTCTTTCAGGTGGCAGGCGTAGAGCCAATGGCAAGGTGTTGGGGGAAATAGCTCTGTGTGTCACACAAGGAGTAGATGGAGGGGACTCTGCACTAGAAGTTATACAGTATGGTGATTATGATCTTGGCAAGACCCGATGCTGCAAAAGAGGACAGAAGGAAAGCACCTGTGAGACCAAGGGTTGCTTTATCCTATTCCTGGCTCCCATAGAGAGTCACTCCAAGGTATTTTGCTGCCTGAGGCCAAACAAACAAACAAATAAAAAAGGATAGTACAGTACCCACTCCCTCCCTGACACAAAAGCTGGCTGGGCTGGCAGCAGAATCTTTCTTTAGCCCTCTTTAGCAGTCCTTTGTCACACCTGAAAGCAGAAGGCTGGCTGAGGGCATATAGCAATAAGTGGCAGGACCGACTGCTTCCCCCCTTAGAGCTTCCTTTCAGCATCTGCTCCCAAAAGTGACAACTATATACCTAATTGCAGAGCTGGCCCTGCTCTCTTCCCAATCCTGAGTGTACTGGTAGCTTGAGTTTCCCATTTTTCCTTCTAGGCAAGCGCTTCCCAGTCTTGGATCTTCAGAGGTTGCTGGACTATAACTCCCAGAAATCCTGGCTAGCACTGCTAACAGCGAAGGCTTCTGGGAGTTTTAGTCCAAGAATATCTGGGGACTTAAGGTTGGGAACCACAGTTCCTAGGGTATATTCAGCCTCTTTCTCCCTATTTCCATCAGTGCTAATTCTTCTGTCTCCCCCCTCCTTTCTTCCACTTAACCCCCACATACTCACCATCCCCAGCCACCTCTTGGATCTGAGAAGCGGTAGACTTGCAGCTTGTCTTACTTGCCGTGGACCTGCGGCTCTTCTTACTGCTGTTGGTGCAGACAGAGGTGGTGGAGCCGATGCGCTGTTTCTTTGACGCCTGTGGCTGCTGCCTCACCAGAGTGTGGGGAGCCCCACAGCCATTGACGTGGTAGGGATGGTGACAAGCGGCCTTCCCCTGCTGAAATGGAGAGGCGGCGACAGTAGTGGTGGTGGAGGACAGAGGGAGGTCTGAAAAGATAGGTGGTAGAATTTGTTGCCTAGAGGTATAAAATGGACCTTTGGTAGACTGTGGGCTAAATTATTAGTGATCATTTGTAGTAATATGAGTGTTAGTGTGAGTATTACTACTGAAGGCTTATTTGTAAGCAGCTGGGAGAAGTCCCTGCAAGGTTTTTGCCTCAAGTCCCAAAATTATCTGGTTGGCTGTGAACAGAGATGGGGAAAAGTTACTTTCTTCAACTGCAGTTCTTAGAATAACCCCACTATGCTGGCTGAGATCTTCTGGGAGTTGTAGTCCAAACCAGAGAGGTTTTCTACTGTCGGCCTTTGAATAGTATCCACCTTGAGTTTTGTGGGTGGTGCCTCCATTTGTGAAGCCATTTCAGAGGGGGGGGGCGAAAGTAAACATGTGAACTGGGCCCTTCTCAACTAATCATACTACAATAATCTTGCTAGAAGAGGCATCTTTCCTGTGATAAAAGGGAGGATTTGGAGAGAAGCATTTTCTCAGCTCTTTGCCTGTGGATGCGGTGGTGGTGGTAGGTTAATCTCTCTCCATACATGACATGAACAGTGTCATAGTTCGGTGGTTTAGGCACTTGGCTGCAGAGCCAGAGGTTGGGAGTTTGATTCCCCACTGTGCCTCCTTGACAAGGGTTGGACTCAATGATACACAGGGTCCTTTTTAGCTTTGCAGTTCTAAGATTATAGATTATTATCATTTTCTCCTTACCCTGCCCTAGAGTGACCATTCTTGTACAGCAGCTAAATGATCTCATATTATTAATGTTCCTATGCAGTTAATGTAGCCCATTGACCAAGATGCCCGAGACTTTTTTGGAATCTTGCACAACCATTCTTAAAAGTGTATTGTGCAATCAATGGAGTTGGCAATACTGTCCCTTGGGTACAGAACTAAAGTGTGAAGCTTGAACATGGATAACCGCTGCACGCAGAGGCTGCTATGCATAAAGTCTGATCAATACGCAGAGGCTTCTAGTAAATAAATAATTGACCAGTATGGGGGAATTTACAGACCATTACAGTAACCTAATAAATCCAAGATCTCTATTGAGGATCTCAGTTATTAGATCATTACATTCTTGAACACCCTTTTTTCTTTTTTTCTTTTTTTTTGTTTTAGCTGCCCACATTGCTCCGTTTGGCCTTACCATTTTCAGCTTTCTCTGCTAGCTGAGTGGAAGAAACAAGTGACAAATCTTCACTGGACTTAATGGGGCCAGGCTTGTATCCATGTTTTTTGGAGGCGTGAATGCTTCTGAAAGATTCCGCAAACTCTGCCAGTGGAAAGAAGGAATTAAATGGAAAGAAGGATACCAGCTTGAACACACTGGGTCTTATCTGACTGTGGGAGCTAAGAAACCTTAGGCACATTTATCACTTGGATAGGAGATGAACAGAGGATATCGGGGACCTTTAAGCAGAACTAAGTAAGCTCCTGCATGAAACTCTGGCCAGCCAGTGCTGCCAGTTGATGTTGACGGTATTAGGCTAGGAAAACTAAGACTCTGACTCATGGTATGGTAGCGTCCCATGTTCCTATACTGTATATGCACACACCGATGTTCATCCCTCTTTTCTCATCCATGGGTGAATTGATCTGAAGAGAACCAGAGTCACAAAATGTGTGTTCTGTTGCAATTCTACATACTGGAGGTAAGCAAACACACAATCTGGAGGCTGCATGCAGCCTGTTATTTTGCAGCCCCACCTAGCAATCCTGCTGCCAAACTGATTGCAGTAGCAGTCACAAAAATGCTGTTCGGGTTTTTGTTGTTATCAGACGTAAGCTCCCCACACCTTGTTCACGTGTAGGAAGGTGGGTTTGTTACCACTGCCCCAGCAGCAAATTCAGCAATAGTGTGGTGGAGATAAGGTAGCCCTGGAAGTTGCTCACCTTTGGTGTAGCACTTGCCTTGGAGTAAGTTCCACTGAATTCAATGGACTTTGTTTGTAAGTAGAGATGCATAAAAATGGACTGGCTGCATGCCGGCTCATCTTGTTTTCAAAGCTCTGAAAGAACCTTCCCTAACCACTGCACTGGACAACAATTCCACCACCCCAACAACCAGCAGGCCAAACTCAGCTGGCCCATACATGACTGCTATCAATTTTAAAGACAAAAGAAAACACACACAGAGACCCAGCGGACACCCGAAGGAGCTTAATCCTTTATTTCTGCTATAGTCCTGATCGAAACTGGCAGATAAGCCCTGACAATTCACTATTACCACAGTTCTATTTCTTCTGTGTTGATCTCCATCAGTTTCCAACTGCACGTATTTCTTTTTTTTACCCAGCTGCATATTTTATGCCCAACCACACACTAAAAATACAAAAGAAAAAGAAAAAAACACACCACACCCTGCTTAGAGCTGCCCATTAATAATTAGCTTCCGGACAGCTGGCAAAGCAGATGCAGAGGCCACTGAGTGGTCATGGCCGTTCTCAGTGCCATTTCTTCCAGAAGGACTGAAGCTTCTGTCACAGCTGGCCATGAGCCAGGCTGCCTGGCACTGATGATAACTGTAGTTCAAAATATCTGGAGGGGCACCAGGACTGGAATATGTGGCGAGATGCATTGTATTGCCCTTTAAATTACGACAATTATTTCTAAATGTCCTTTAAAGAGTGAGGAAGGTGGTACCTTAATTGAACCAAAAAGCTAATTTTTTTTGTTTGGAGTTTGGAATGGAAAATTCCTACCATGCTACAGTATAAGGGATGATGCCTGAAACCACACCTCCCAGCTGACATGACAAGCAAAGTCTGAACTCACCTATTACAAACAGACTCAGCACAGACATCTGCCATGATTTTTGGGGATCTTGGTCTACAATTTTTCTGTACTATGTATGAAAGGGTGGTGTTCAACCTCACAAGGTGGGATTTAACCCATGAAAGCTTGCAATTTGTTTGATTTCTTAGTGGTTCAATAAAGGCATCACTGTATTCTTGCATTTGTGTAATCCTGAACCACATAGCCTTTTCCTAATTCTTTAAAGAGAAGTTTAGGAAGTGGGGACAAGAAAGAGATCCGTTTCGGCCATGCTTTCTCTAAGCATGGAATGCTCTCTCTAGCACTGGGACATGCTTGGCCCCAACATTGTAATCATTTTGGCTTATTTCTCTACTCTCAGGGAGTACCAGGATAGAATGTGATTGCCCATCTTTAAATATTAGCTTTAGGTGAATTAATCACTCTATAATTAGTTCTTGAATAGGGCGGGGTGGAAGGTATTTTCAGTATAGTATTAGCTGTATTATTGTCTTCCTAATAGCTCAGAGGTTTAGATACCTGGCTGCAGAGCAAGAGGTTGGAAGTTCGATTCCCGACTGCCTTCTGGGAGAAAAGCTAGTCTGTATGGCTTTGGGCAATCTGCAGAGTCTCAGGGCACCCCCAGAAGAAGGGAACGGTAAACATGTATCGTCTAGCTGGAAAACCCTGGAATCTACTTGATGGCACACAATTATTCTTATCTTCTTATTTCTCAGCATTGCTGGTGCACAGGAATGGGATTTAAAGCTAGGCAGAACCACAAGGGACTTGGAGAATTGCCCTGAAAAATACCTCTTCTGATAAGATTATTATTACAGAGGAGCTCTCTAATATTGTTCTCCGTGAGTTTGTATCATAACACAAATCATCATCATCTTAGAACTGCAGACTATGCGTCCTTGAGTCCAGCCCCTGTCAAGGAAGCACAGTGGGAACTGAAACTCCCAACCTCTGGTTCTGCACCTAGATACCTAAACCACTCAGCTGTCCAGGAGACTAAAGCAATAATAAAGCGATAATTCTGTGAACATTTTTGTAGATCCTCAAAAGGCAACAAGTGGGGCACATAGCCAAATGCCTTTTGGTAATCAATGTAAACAACAGATAAATTTCTGGAGTTCCTTCAAGCCTGACTGAATGTGAAGAACCGAACAATTATAACTGTAGAATTTCTTAATGCAACCACTGCTGCTCTGTTAGGATAAGGCTGCATTCATGAAAACTGTGACTATTTTGGGAAATAACTGATGTAAACAGTTTGTAAATTGTGGGTAAATAAGTGACAGCATGGTAAGTTTTAGAACCAGATTAGCAGATTTATAAAAGAGATGGGTTATTGCTTGTATGAAGGATTTGAAATAAGATCAAGGTTGCCAAGGCTGTCAGTAAAAACTCTCCCTTGTTCTATGTAATTCCACTCTCTGTCTTGAAATTCTCCTTAGAAGATGAATGATTTTCCATTCCACATGCCACATATTTATGGAAACCATGCCTTCCTGAGAGTACATGAAAATGTAAAATAATAGCTTTTAGAATTTTAAATTAATAGTGCAAACATCTGATTCCTAAGCTCCTATATATGGCACAACAAAAGCCATACTTTGTTAAAAACTGAATTAAAAGGCACTTAATGGCCATCTAATCACCATTTCAGATTAATTTTAATTATGATTTCAAGCTTATTAGTAGAGAGTTGTTGCTGCCTGCAAGACTCATCAAACAAAATCATGGTTTTAAATTCTTAAATGACTTACAATAGATGAGTCTCGCTGGCTTCAATAGCATTACCTCTAAGTAGTTTTAGCAGCCTACTGTCAGTGATACAATACAGAATCTGTGTTTTTCCCCAGAGGAGGAAACTATAACCATTAAATCCTTTTCATCTCCAGAAATTTCTGTTTCCGAGCAGCGAGCGTGCTAAATGTAGCTTCTGGGGATACAGTAATTCTTGCCTCTGTACACACAAATCTCCTATAATGTCTTACTATTATAGAGATGCCATTGACCAAGGATAACCTACTCAAGCCATTTTTCATTCCTGAGATATAAAATCCAAATAGTACCTCTCTTCTGTTGATCAACAAGGAGGCACAGCATGATTCGGAAGTTGTGGGGCTGGCCTAATACATTTTGCTCTCTGAGGTGTAACCTCTCAACCTATGTACACAAGCCAACAGGCCTTTTTTTTCAGCATGGGGAATGGGACAGTAAACCTCACCACCAGACTTGAAGGTGACAGGCTAGCTAGAGGGTGCAGAAGAGTCACATGGCACACCTTTCTGGTATCTCTACCTGAGATGTTATGTGCCATTTTCTGTCAGAGATGATTGCCTCATTTTGTCCACTGGGAGGGCTGGCACTGGGAAGACAGAAACCATTCTCCTGAGCAGTTCCTGTGCATATGGAGGGGATTTATGGAGTAGGCAGATTTATCTGATGCATTACATGCATCAGATCTACCTTTCTCCAGCTGTGGCTCTCTTAACAGCATTGACAATCTATCAATTAAGAAATCAAACTATTAAAAATATTAGAGAAGGAGAGAGAGAGAGAGAGAGAGAGAGAGAGAGAGAGAGAAAGAAAGAAAGAAAGAAAGAAAGAAAGAAAGAAAGAAAGAAAGAAAGAAAGAAAGAAAGAAAGAAAGAAAGAAAGAAAGAAAGAAAGAAAGAAAGTCTCTTAGGTTCCCCTGTAACACAAAGGCATTTACACTGAACAAGGTCACTGAGTTTCTTACCTGAATCTGGAGTGGTGTTATTAGAATGTTCCCTGTCTGGTTTTGGTCCTGTATTTGTTCCATCAGTCCTTTCAGGTACCCCTGAGTGGATGGCAGACATCTAGAAACGTGTAGAGGAGAAGGGGGAACAAAATGGTCATAAAGAAGTGACTGCTATTCTTTATCCTCTGTCCACTCTGATGAAGAGATGCAGGGATGAAAGCTAGCTTATGTTTCTGATTTTTTTGAGTAGTTCTTATAAAAGCACCACCCACCCTTGCCTTCTTTATACTCATTATTACTCATTATTATCACAGTACTTTCAGACAGGCTTCTCTAGTGCACTCATCCTGCCTCAGACACTGAGTTCTACAAGTACAGTTGTAGAAGAGGTAGCCGTGTTAGTCTGTGCAAGCGTTATAGGTGAAAAAGATTAAATTATTTTAAAAATTAAAAAAGAAAAAAAATGTGGTGGCACCTTAAAGATTGTTATATCTCACTGTGAGAAAAAGAGGTGCACCTTGGCATGAATTTCAGTTTGTAGCTGTATCAGGAATGGGCTGGGAGGGCAGAACTGGAGTGTCAAACTGGATCCTCTCCGTTTCCAGGATAGAATCCCAAGTTCTGAAACAGAACCTGGGAAACTTATTTCTTTTATACTACAACGTCCAGAATTCCTGAAGAAGCTTGGAATTGCAGTCCAAATAAACTCCCCATGCTCTGTGTGAAAAACTAGAAGGGAACCAACTTTGCCTTTCAGGTTTCCAGTCCCCAAATCACCAGAGATTTGAAACTAGAAAATGAAGTTACTAATACTAATGAGCAGCTTCATTAAGGCAGCAATCAATGGAAGGTATTTGGATTCATAACTAACGATGACCTAAATTGGAATCAACTTCTAAAGTACTGCATATTCTTCAGTTTAACTGAGTTACACAAGCTCAGATACAACTATGTCCTAGGAAATTTTGCGACTTGAGGTTAGGGAGCAAATCATCCTCCCCTCTTCACAGCCACCTCCCAAGTCAAAGTATGTGGTATTGGAAGTCAATCAAGTTACAGTATTTTTGGCACATGATGCAGAAAATCCCACAAGCACCTTTTCTTGTTGCTGGTAGTAGCAATACTACAACAGCCCCAGAAAGAACTCAACAGTTTTGCTTCCCTTTCATTGCACCTCATATCAACCGCCAGAGGCAACTGCCTGACTCTGCCTAATGGTAGGGTCAGGTCAGTCCCGGTTGCATTCGTGCAGCAGGGAGCAAGACTGACGCAAAGATGAAAGGCGCAAGGGGCTCAGAAAGGTGAGGCTGCTGCTGGTTTGCAGTTTCCCGAGCTTTGCCCATCCTCTTATCCAGCCCTGTCAGTTCAAAGCTCTGGAAGGGGAGAAACAGGAAATAACAGATCCATTAACCTCCCACCCCACTGAGGCTAGAATAACAGGAGAAAGCAAAACAGCAGGAACAAAAGCATAGAAGCTGGGAGGGGGCCCAGAGTCCAGCGGGGGGGGGGGGCATTCAGGCTGGGAGAATGGCATAGTTTTTAGCTAGCTGGGTTGAGAAAGAGCTGGGAGGCCAGGCATGATACCGTTGCCAACTCCACCATCTGATAAGAGTTTCTGGGCCTCTAACAAATGCAGGTTAGGCTGAAGTTCAATAGCAGACTCCTTCCCCTCCACCACTCCCCCAGCACTGATATACAGAAATACAGAGATGAGAAATCATCACCAGCTAAATCTTTGCAGATCATGCCAATTTTAAAAGCGTGCAAGTTTAGAAGGATGTTACCCAGTGTGGCATAGTGGATAGTGATGGACTAAGGCTCAGAAGATGTGGGTTTGAATCCCTGGTCAGCCATGGGATAGGGGGTGTCTCTGGCAAAAAGACTTCTTAAATATCTCACTTGCCTCGAAAACCTTATTAGGGCTGCTGTAGGTCAGTTCTGACTTGCCAGCACAGAATACACACATTTAGAAGGAGGAGGGCAGAAAAAGTTTAGCAGCCTTACTTTTGTTGTTGTTTAGTCGTTAAGTTGTGTGGACTCTTCGTGACCCCATGGACCAGAGCATGCCAGGCCCTCCTGTCTTCCACAGCCTTACTTTAACATGGACTTAATTCTTCTGTGGAAGTCACTGAGACTTCAAAGTTCTTCACTTTGACCAGACTGTGCTTAGCATTTCCAGATCTGAATTGTGCTGCTCCATTGTTTTCCTTCTTGAACTTGTAGATGCTACCTTTTCTTTTGTTGAGGATCGGCTTTACAAATGGCTCACCTTGTGGACGTGAGAAGGCCACCAACCATATGCCAGGACGAAGAATGTGAAATATTGAAGTTTCCAGTGATACTTGGCAGTGATGCTCATATCGCAGTCATACCATCAGTTTCTAAGGAGTTAGCCTTCCATTTTCCACATTATGGTCAATCTATCTCTCACCTTTCTATTGAAATGCCATCCAGAGGCTGGCTGACAAGATGACATGTATACAATGCATAATGTATACACCTCATGTTGACGTCATAGTAACTGAGATTTGTTCTTAGGCACAGCCTATAGTGGATTCTATTGTGGATTCTCCTTGACTTGCTATTCTAAGTCTCTCTGGAGGAAAACACAAGCCAGACCTTTACCTTTGTGAGGAGCTCCTGTGACAAAGAATAATATGCAGGAGGGGGAACCAGGGCCTCCCGTTTTTTCAATTACATCAATAAATCTTGGGCATGGGTATGAAGACTTCTTTTGTAGTCCACAGTTATAGTCTGTATTCTCCATACTTCCCACCCCGAAATAAATGTATACGTTTTGGAAAAATTATTTGTAGCAATACAGTCAAATCACAATAGTTCATCTGATAGCACTTTGAGGCCCCTGCAAACCATAGGCTACAAGTACACAGCATTGAAGAAGACTGTGCTGATTAGTAATGACACCAGTTTCCTCATTTTGCAGGAAGAAAAATTAACAGAATAAATGGCTGCACTCTAAAGTGAGAGAAATAATTTATTTTTTAAAGCTGAGCTATGCTTGAGTAGAAGACACTCTGTGCCTCTTCAAACAATAAACAGACTCTGATTATAGATACATTATGCTGCCAGAATATATTTTTAAAAGAATAATGTCATATATCTTTAAGAAGAAAGAAAAATCAGGATAAATATGAGGCACATGTTTCTCAGCAAATGTGCTAAATAGATATGTTTAAATGCCTACAAAAAGAGGACACATCACAACATGCAAAGTTCCAAACTCATGTAACAAAATAGAGGTAAATAAACATGGGAGCCTCTTAGAAACAATTGAAGAAATGAGGGCAGGAGGAATGTTAGAAACAAAGGTCAGGATGAAGTGTACCAAACGGGGTGTTAAGCAAAGCAAAATCTATTTAAGCTCCACTCCAAGGACGCCCTACTTTACCTGCGAGGTAGGCAGCTCAGAGCACAAGAACGGATACAGCGTACCCTTTTCACTCTTCCCTGATACTCAGCCGTGCTCTGGTATTGCAAGCTGTGTGCACTTGGCGTTTGGCATAGACTCTGCCCTGGCTCTTTTTCACCCTCGGTCCATTCCTGACTGGGCGATGCTGCTGTCATAACATCCTGATTTCAGCTCAGTGTCAAAGCTGTGGGGGGGCGGGCAGGCGGGGGAAACAAATATCATATCTCATAAAATAGCCACTCCCATTCCCCTCGCTTTGGTCCTGGACTGGGCTGAGGTCCAGAGAAAGGGGCGGGATAGGCTTAATTCAAGAGAGAGCCCTTTTATCTGTACAAAATTCCATCAGCCTAGAAGCAGCTCCACCCGAGAGGTGGCTGAATCTCCGAGCCTGGTATGAGGAGCAGCCGAATACAGAATAGGCAGCTGCACCTTGGTACTGTTTTGTTGCCCCCCGATGACGCATTGTTTGCTTTTTGCTCTAGGCAGCCCAGATGGAGGATTATGATTCTTTCCCAGGAAACCCCCTTTTCTGGTGTCGCAAATTATTGCTTTGTTACATGTTTATGCCTCTAAAGAGCACTGGGGAGCAGTCATGGTTCTCCCCAAAGTCTGGCCCAAGACTTTTGGCTGTCCGAAGTGAAGGAAAAGACCTTGCTCCTACAGAGCCAGGTATGGAAGCTCATGAGACTGAGAGCTGATTCTTGCTTTAGCCATGGCAGTAGGTTAGCCTAGGGGGTACAAAGCTGGCCAAATGTCACACATAACCTCCAAGGTAAGGGGAGGCGGCCAGGGTTTCAGGAGGAATGACTAGGGATGGAGGGCTGTAAATGTTGTGATGCTTCCTACATCCAAGCTGCTTTCTACTCCAACTGCTGCCCTTTTCCAATTGGTAACCTGATTCTTGCTTTAGCCATGGCAGTAGGTTAGCCTAGGGGGTACAAAGCTGGCCAAATGTCACACATAACCTCCAAGGTAAGGGGAGGCGGCCAGGGTTTCAGGAGGAATGACTAGGGATGGAGGGCTGTAAATGTTGTGATGCTTCCTACATCCAAGCTGCTTTCTACTCCAGCTGCTGCCCTTTGCCAATTGGTAACCACTGGCTAGATAGTTCAGTGGTTTTAGTATCTGGCTGCAGAGTTGGGAGTTAAATTCCCCACTGTGGAGCCAACCTGTGTGGCCTTGGGGAAGCTGCACAGTCCCAAGGTGCCTCCAGAAGAAAGGAATGGTAAACCACTTCCGAGTCTTCTCTACCTGGAAAACCCTGCAAAAAGTCATCACAAGACAGAATTGAGTTGATGGCACATGATTACTAAGGCTCTTCTTGTCTAACTCTGACCCAGAATTGAGTTGATGGCACATGATTATTAAGGCTCTTCTTGTCTAACTCTGACTCCACACTTTACCTTCACAGGCACCATGTGAGGTGGGCTTGGCTGAGAGATAGTGCTTGACCCAAGCTCGTCCAGTGAACTTCTCAGCTGAGTACCATTCTGAAACAGAGTTTCCTAATTTCTAATAGAGAACACTGACCATTGCACGACAAGAGAAAGGAGAAATTATTCTCAAATTACGAAAGCAAAGTTCATCTGCTCACTTGTACAGTATTGAATGAGAAAGAGTGGGAAAAAAGGATACCACCCTTGCCCTTATAAATGTTCTCAGAGGGAGAGCTTGTGGTCCTCCAAGATAATTTCCCAAAATAGCCTCTTGCTCCCAGAATTTTGCATTCTCTAGCTTTAGCTAATAATTTCCCTGTTCATAGTAATGCTTGCATCTTCTATAGCATAGAAAATGAAATCTAACCATAGAATCTTACCATAAACTTTCCAGGTACTCTTTGGCAAGGAATTATTTCTTTGGTCAGCGGCATGGAAAGAATAATTTTAGCCTACTTTAGCGGACTGCTGTAATGTTTACTATTTGACATTACACGCTCACAGTACTTCAAAGAATGGGCGAATAAGGATATGCTCTTTTCATGTACATAGAAAATGAAATCTAACCATAGAATCTTACCATAAACTTTCCAGGTACTCTTTGGCAAGGAATTATTTCTTTGGTCAGCGGCATGGAAAGAATAATTTTAGCCTACTTTAGCGGACTGCTGTAATGTTTACTATTTGACATTACACGCTCACAGTACTTCAAAGAATGGGCGAATATGGATATGCTGTTTTCATGTACAAACAATCAGCTACATAATGGATCCATTCATCACTGGAAAGATTTTAGACCATCCAAATGTTGTTCAATTGCCTATGGCTGGAAAGGTTATCTGGTCCACACTGGAACTAACCCTTTCAGAGATAAATGTCACTACAGACTAAATCTACTGAGGGATGTTATAAAGCTTTATAGTGCCCTAAGGTCATTTTTTGAGTATCATACCTTTGACCTTGACATTCCCATCAATCGTAGCCAGCATAGCCAGTGATGAGGGATGTTGGAGCTGCCTTTCTACTACAGCTGAGGATTCATCGGTCCCTTTTCCTTGGCCTAAGCAAAACAGCAATCTTGCTCACTCCAAAATGCACCACAGCACTGGAGAGTGGCTGTCTGAGAGTACAGAAGTAGTAGATTTTGATCAGTGACAGATCACACAGAAATAAACATTTTAAATCTTAAAAGTGTTACATCATGTTGCCTTTTTCTTTTGCCATCTTTCTCAATATAGCAACGTCTTCCCCATCCGAGAAGTACCTACATCAGTCACTGAACATAGATGAATTGCTGACAGCACACTGGACTAGCAACTGCTGAAGCTGAAGCTTAGGTTGGTGGGAAAGTGAGGCTGGGAGACAAAGGGGAGGGGGGCCATAGGGGAGTCCAAAAGACATGAGAGGTAATGGATTCAACCATAAGTAATTCATCCCATTTAGGAGAGTGTGAGAGCTTATCTCCCATGGGGGGTGGGCTGCATTTCCCAGAGCCCAGGGGCAGGCTAGGATTACTTACAGATTTCAAAAGAGCCATTAACGTGAGGGTGGAATGGGAGAGAGGCCAGGCCAGCTCAGCATCTCTTCACTTGCTTGGATGCCTGTAGGCAGCTGCAACAAAGGAGGGAGGGGTGGTAGTGAGATGGGGGGGAGCCAGCCATATAATGGTAAACTATAGGATTTCATAGGCTTTGACTTATGGGAGCTGTGATGCAGAGGTGCCCTAGCATGCCTCACACTGGCTTCCCAATCCCATCATGCCTCATACCGGCCTCCCACCATCCGTCCATCCTCTCTCTAATTCCTAAATGAGTCATTATGTCTCCATGGTGATGGATACTGCAGAAAAGCAGAATGGTAATCACTAGATGGAAGAAGAGTTGGGGAAAGGAGAGACTGTGTTTTTGTGCATGGATGGCTGGTGTGTGTGCGTGTGAGGTGATGAGGCATGATCTATCCATATACTGCCTTAGTGCTGTTTATTATGAAGAATCAGTCACCATCTTGGATCAATGTGGCAGCCCCTGTGTATTATGTGAGGTAGTGGTTGCCATGGATTTTTTTTTTAAAGCAAGATATGTAAAACTAATGAGGAGAGATATTGGAAGCAAGCTATCCATCAAGCAGCAGAAAAGCATGTAAGAGAAGTATACGTACACATATGGATTATATACTCCCAGAGAAAATTTGTCATCAAAGGAAGCAGAAGACACAATTGTGTGAATTTGCTTTCAGAATAGCCATTAATCACAACGGTTGTATCTAAATTGCCTCTGCCTTGGAGGCTGAGACGCAAAAATAAGATCAAATGTGAGGTGAATGTAGTGGCTGCAATTAATGTGTCTGGTTTCAAAAAGGACACTTTAAAGTCACAGCCCTGGCCTTTCCTCATAATAGGCTTGGGGGTCTGTGGAGGGGAGGTTAATCTTTTTGCCCACACAGTAGGCGAAGTGAAAAACAACTGGTGAAAATGCCTTCCCTTCAAGGAACGTTCTACCATCAGGTGGAATGAGACATCCACTTCTGATGGGTGGTATGTGGGCAGCCTGTTGCCAGCCATCCCACTCGAACACTCCTCCAGACATTCCCCTGTCTCTGGAAAATAAGGTTGTTACGATGTTGCACAAGCTGTCCTGCACCCTCAAAGCGGGCACAGTGCTTTAGGATTAGCTGGTATTTCCTGGCAATGTGCAGTGGCCTAATGCTGATCTGGTGACTACTGAATGGGAGTTATGAACTGGTACTAAGGAAGAAAAAGAAAGTGGTATTAAAGGTGTGTGTGTGTGTGTGTAGAAACATGCTGTTTATTATATTAGAAAATCCATTTATTGACAGTGTAGGAGGAAGAAAGATTGCTAAACTGAATTAGAGAAGACCGTAAGGCTGCCATTTATATCTGCAGTCTGCTAACAACCATCTTCTGCCTCTCTCTGACAAGGGGGGGAAGAGGCAGTAAGAAGCACTTGAAATTGTCAAGGAGAGACAAGAAGCAAAAGTAAAAGGTGACAGAAGTAAGGTGAGAATCCTAAGTCCTTTCAGTGACTGTCACAAAGAAAGTGAACTATTGTAATGATCAATGCAAAGCAAAAGAGAACAGCAAAGGAGGAAAAACAAGAGAGCTCTTTTAGAAGATCCAAGAATTCAAAGGCAATTTTAAACATATAGGAGTGCTGAAAGACCAACAGAGAAGCAGACTATCTGACCAGGAGAGATGAAAGGATGACAGATTCGTCTGAAGAGGAATCCCATGATGAAGGACCAGCAATTCTAGAAAGTGAACTGAAAGCTGCTTTGAAAGTATTGGGAGGAAATAAATCGCCAGGAATAGCTGGGGTACTGATGGAATTATTTCAAGCCGCAGAGACTGAATTTGTCAAAATTCTAACAAGAATATCCCGACAAATATGGAAAATAAAACAATCACCTACAGACTTGAAACATTCAATATACTGTACATTCCAATCTCCAAGAAAGATGCCAAACAGTTTTGCAACTATAGGACCATATTGACCTGCAAGTATTTACCAGAGACAAAAAGAGACAGTTGTACCTCTCTCTTTTATGTCAGATTTTCCAGTGCAGTGACAAGATATTGAGGGAGATAGGTTTGTGTGCCATGTGGATTTCCCATGCTAGTTTAGTGCCCTCTGGTGTGGTGGGAAATTTAGTCCTATCAGCACTATTGAACTAAGATGGGACTGATACTCTTACCAGCTTCTGTATGTGCTGGTAAGATTTGCCATTTAGCCCTTTGTGTCAAGCAGTAAAATATATCTTAAGCTGGCCCTGGTGTAGTACTGTAATGAGTTTTCCAAACAAATCTTTCTGGATATGAAAGATTCCTCCACCCTTACCTGCCTGATGCCAGATTCCTTACTTTTTTCCAAACAGGACAGCTTATGTGCCC